CCTGAAGTGCGTGTTCCCTATTAAGTCTGCATCAGTGGAGAGAAAGCCTCTGAGCCTGACCCTAGTGGTTGAGTTTAAACCGTCCTCTCCTCACGCTCCCACCAAATGACCTGCATTTAAATCAAAGCTTCGTCACCTACCATTGTGACACTGAGCTTGTTTTCTCCATCTCTAAAATGAGAATAATACTACATACCATGTGACAAAAATGCCAAAAGTCAAGTCCATTTCAGTTCCCCAAGTATTTCCTAAGCAGCTCATTTGGTGGCAGGAGGACAAAAAGATGCATACAAAAGCTTGGGAGCTGGCAGGGCAGGTGGAAGAAAGCAGAATAGCGGTGGGACAGCTAGTGTGATGGAGACATGAAGGGCTAGGGTTGTTCTGGGGGAGCCCCAAGGACAGCACTGGCCCAGCAGGGGCAGGGCTGGGGGAGGAACCAGTGCAGAGCAGGTAAGGCCACAGCAGAATTTGGCAGGTGGGGTTTAGCCAAATGCAAACATGAAGCAGTCTTCTGTGTGCTGGGAACTGTGAGGAGTTTGGCTTTAGTGAGGAAATAGTGTGAGGGGAGAGGCAGGAGATGGAGGTGGAAGGCAGGTCTGAGAGCCCTGAGTGTGATGAATTTGCCTGCAAGCAATGGGCAGTACACAGTGAGCAGGTGTATGATGGGGTAGGGGAGTGGGGGGAGGGAGTGAAAAGAAAGAGGAGAGATGGGGAGAGGGAGAGAGAGAGATTGATTGAGATTATAAAAGAAATGCATGCTTATCTGGAAATCATAGAAAATCACAGTAAACAGCATAAGTCATCCCTAATCACACACCCAGCTGTAACCAGAGTTCATATAATATTTTGGTGAAATCTTTCCAGTCCTACATATGTAGATAGATAGATACATGGATAGATTTTACACTACTGGTATCATATTTTCAACATGCAGGTAAAATTTGCAGGTAAAACATGCAGGTAGTCTCATTTAAAATTACTTTTTTTCGTTACTGGACATCCTGAACTGTTTTCCATGCCCATTGGCCATTCGCAATTTTTCCTGTGGAAATTGCTTCCTCCTATCAGAGTTCTTGACTTTTTCTTGCTGATCTGTAGAGGTTCTTTACATAATAAGGATGTTAGCCCATTGTCTCTGGGCAGTGAGGCCTCCCACAGGGCAGGAGGTCAGGGAGCAAGGGCATGTGCCCTGATAGTAGCAACAGCTCCTGAGGCCACCTGGCCAGCATGTTCTGAGCCTGTGCTGGGTGCCACGCACTGTGCTGTGAGTGAGCTCTGCAGAGCTGATCTCACAGCAACTTTAGGAGGTACATGCAAATACTCTGCCCAGTTTACAGATGAGGAAACAGAATCACAGAGAAGTCCCATGACTTGCCTAAGGCCCCACAGCTAGTAAGTGATGCAAGCAGGAGTAACCCTGCCCTGGGAGCCTGCATGCCCAGTACACATTAGTTCCTTCTCTGCCCTGCAGTGCCACTGGCTGGCACACCTTTCTTCCACCAGCTTGAGTTGGTGCCTGCATCTTCAACCCAGTGTTCTCACTCTGGTTGCCCTGATGGCTGTTTCAGGGACAATGGATGAAGGGACAAATACCCAGGTGGCTTAGATTCTGTTTGTAAGGCAGAGCCATCTGGGAGCTGCTCTTGGCCTAAGGCTTGGCTAGTTGGGAGCCTGGAGGGACCCTTGGGATAGGAAGCCCCTTCCCCCACAGTCCTATCCCCACTGCCCTCAAGAAGGAGGCTGAGTGCCCAGCAAAGTGGACTGGGTCAGGGCTCTGAGAATTCTAGAGATCCATAGAGAGATCAGCTTATCTAAAAAAGGTCAGTCCTTTCCTCTTGCAGAATCAGAATCCAAAAACATTCAAATAATGACTTGTGTTTACAAAATAGGGGCAGTTCACAGCACATGACCTTTGTCCCTTTGCTCTTGGGCACATTACAATCATAGCCAGAGCTCATGGGGAAGCAAAGGGCAGGGCTTGGGGTCAAACAGACCTGGGTTCACCCTCTGGCTTGGCCCCCTACCAGCTGTGTGACTTTAGGCAAGTTATATACCCTCTCTGAAGTGTCAGCTCTTGGTCCATGGAATGAATGACCCATCCCTGCTTCTTTACTGTGAAAATGATGAATCAGGCCTGCAGAACACTCTGAACAGGACCAAGCACATATGCCTGGAGCACAGAACTCCATAACCAGTAAACAATATTATTCCTATTTAAGATGAGAAACACACCAAAGATCCAGCTGCCCAGTGTCTCCAGTTGGATTTGCAACATCAGCTGTATCTTTCCAAAGAATGAGGCTTTCTGGACTTCCTAAGGTGTGGTTACTATGCTTCAAGGCACCCGACTTTGTTAACTGATGCGGACAGACCTCACTTTTCCCCTATCCCTTCCCACTCACCTACAAGCTGTGATGTAAGGTGATGGGATGCTGCAAATGGGCCTCATTATTACCAGTCTTTCTCCCTACTGGGCTAAGCTCCTCCAGGGCACCATTGACCACCTTTACTATGACTCCTTCAGCCCAACGCTTAGCCCAGAGTAGGAGTTTAGCAAATGTTTATTGGGAAAAAGGAGGGATAGAAGGAAGAGAGAAAGAGAGAAGGGAGGGAGGAAGAATCTTTTCTCACTATGAGACGTGAGTCACAGGGCACCAGCACAGTTCATAGGAAATAGGGACTTCTCTTTGGGGCTTCTCCTTTGTGGCCTGGGCTCCTCTAAGCTGGGAGACGTCAGATGGGTGTCCCTTCTCTCAGCCACAGCCCGGAGCCCCCTGCATTGCATGCATGCAGGCATGTCCAGAGAGAGGCTAGCCTGTGGCCCCTCACTCACTGGGGTGGGGGTGACCATCACAACAGCTTTCAGCAGGGAGGATCTTCACAGAGCAGGCAGCCCAGTGATGGGTAAGTTCTCTCTGGCCACAGGCTTTCAAGCCAAATGGAGGTAGGTCTCTTACCCTCTGGCATGACCTGGAAGGTTCCTCACCACTTTGAGTCTATTAGCAGAACCATCTATGAGTTAAGATTTGAACTAGGTAAAAGAAAAACACATCTGCCACATTAGCTGGGTCACAACTGTGATATTTAGATCTGTGAGTGGGAGACCCCTAGTTGTTGTAGGAGGAGCTTGTTCTGCCAGCCTTGGTTCTTTCCATAGAAGTGGCAGGGGAGCACATTTGGGGGCCCCTCCTTTGTGCCTGGCACATTACACATGCTATTTATTGAATCCTCCAAACAATCATGAGAAAGAGAGATCCTGCTGTCCCCATGGGCCAACATGAGGAAAACAAGGCTCAGAGCACAGTGTGGTCCCAGTGGGCCCTGGGAGCTTGGTTCCTATGGAGTTTTCTAGCATGGTTGGGGTGGTGGTGGCACTGCATTGTTGTTGAACTTTCACCCCACTCATGGGTCAACCCCGTTCCTCTCTAGGCTTTACCCAGCATACAGAGCCTGGGAGCTTGGTTCCTATGGAGTTTTCTAGCATGGTTGGGGTGGTGGTGGCACTGCATTGTTGGTGAACTTTCACCCCACTCATGGGTCAACCCCGTTCCTCTCTAGGCTTTACCCAGCATACAGACACTGGGAGGTCATCAGCAGGAAGTAAAGCAGTGCGGGTGAGAAGCCAACCCCAGCTGCTCTGGTCTCCTGCTAGTCTGCAGCATCATAGGGAGGCAGGCACCAGGAAAGACCGCCTCTTCCCCTCCTAATCATAGAGTGGACTTGGCCATTTTGAGAGCTCATGTTGCTGGCCAAGGCTGGGGCAGCTTCCTGAGGCTGCAGATGAGGATGGGCTGCCCTCAGGCCCTGGGGAACCACCTGGTGGAACCAGGCAAGAAGGAAGGGGTGGTTGCAACCCTGGAAAGCAGGGGCTGGAGCATTCTCTAGTCGTGCTACAGATGTGATGGTTGAGAGGTTCTGGTCCTTACCATGGTTCAGGTCTCTAGAGAGCAACCTGGACCTTGGAGATTTTGTCAAGTGACCTTGTGCAAACATGATACAGTTGGTCCTCTGTATCCGTGAGTTCCACATCCATGGATTCAACCAACCATAGATCAAAAATGCTGTATTGTGGGGGGGAGGAGGATGGTCGCGCCTGTACTGAACATGTACAGACTTTTTTCCTTGTCATTATTCCCTAAACAATATGGTAAAACAACTATTTACGTAGCATTTACATTGTACTAGGTATTATAAGTAACCTAGAGATGATTTAAAGTGAACAAGAGGATGTGGATAGGTTATATGCAAATACTACATCATTTTATATCAGTGACTTGAATATCCCAGGATTTTGGTATTCCTGGAGGTCCTGGAACCAATCCCCCACAGATACCGAAGGATGACTGTACTGCTCTTTCCTTGTAAAACAATCTTAAAAGTTCTCTGGCAGAACAAATAGCTAATGGTCAAATAGCTTCGCTCTTAACCCCCGTTTCCCTTAGAAAGCATTCAGAATGCAGTGAAAAGAAGGAAGTTGTGCTTATTTCACCTCACTGGAAGAATCACCACATTTAATGTAAACTGCACTTAATGATTGCAGTTAAAAACTGACTGCATAAAACAGAAGGCTATGCAAATACTGGAGGGGCTGCCTTGAGACAGGGCTTGGACCCAACCCAAACCATCTCGAGCACTTAGTGGAGGTGTCAGTGATATTTGTTCATTTGTTCATTGAGTAGAATGCCAGGTAGGGAAATGGGAGCTCTAGGATCCAGCAGGCCTGAGGCCAACCCTGCCTGACTACCTTTCGTTTCTATTTCTTTTTTTTGCAATGGGATATTAACAATCTGCAGCCTCTCTGACCTCAATTCCTCACCCTTTCATTGAGGATCGTAAAGGGCGCCCTCATCAGTTTGATGTGAGAATTGCACGAGGAAAGCAAAGCGTGGGCCTGGCCTGGAAGTGGGTCAGGGGGGCGTTGGTCTGGGTGGGAGACCCCGTGAGCACCGGGCCTCTCCAGGAGAGAACCTAACAGGCTGTGGTGTGTCCTTCCCTCGCAGAAGTGATCGACCAGAAGGCCGTGTACTTCTTCAACCTGACTTCCATACAGGATTCAGAAATGATTCTCACAGCCACGTTTCACTTCTACTCAGAGCCACCACGGTGGCCCCGGGCGCGCGAGATGCTGTGCAAGCCGCGGGCCAAGAACGTGTCGTGCCGCCTGCTGTCCCCGGGCCCGCCGGCGCGCCAGCACCTGCTCTTCCGCAGCCTGTCGCAGAACACGACCACGCAGGGGCTGCTCCGCGGGGCCGTGGCCCTGGTGCCCCCTCCGCGTGGCCTGTGGCAGGCCAAGGACATCTCCCCCATCGTCAAGGCGGCCCGCCGGGACGGCGAGCTGCTCCTCTCTGCTCAGCTGGATTATGGGGAGAGGGACCCGGGGGTGCACAGCCCCAGCCGCCCCTCCCCCTACATCCTCGTCTACGCCGACGACCTGGCCATTTCGGAGCCCAACAGCGTGGCGGTGACGCTGCAGAGATACGACCCTTTCCCAGCTGGAGACCCCGAGCTCCACGCAGCCCCCAACAGCTCAGCGGACCCCCGCGTGCGCCGGGCTGCGCAGGTCACCGGGCCCCTCCAGGACAACGAACTGCCGGGGCTGCACGAGAGGCCGGCGCACGCCCCCCACGCCCCCCACTACCACGAGCACGAGCTGTGGTCCAGCCCCTTCCGAGCGCTGAAGCCCCGGCCAGGGCGCAAGGACCGCAGGAAGAAGGGCCAGGACACGTTCTTGGCCTCCTCGCAGGTGCTAGACTTTGACGAGAAGACAATGCAGAAAGCCCGACGCAAGCAGTGGGACGAGCCCAGGGTGTGTTCCCGGAGGTATCTCAAGGTGGACTTTGCAGACATCGGGTGGAACGAATGGATCATCTCGCCCAAATCCTTCGACGCCTACTACTGCGCGGGCACGTGCGAGTTCCCCATGCCCAAGGTGGAGTGTGTTTTAGTCGCACCCCTGTGTTCTGCCTGTTGTCAGATTTTAAACTCTCATCTCTGCCCCTATTAGCAAGTCCCTCTGCTCCTGTCACCTCGGTTTCCTCATCTGCAAAATGGAGATACTAACACCTCCCATCCGTTCCAGGCAGAGAATGAGCAGACAGAGGTCAAGCCTGCTGGGTGGATGCGGCCCACAGATGTATTTGGTTTGGCCGCGCTTTTGAAAGTGTTGACTTGGTTGAGCTGGAATTTTTTTTTTTTTTTTTTGAGCTGGAATTTTTAATCAGGACATTTCTTCTTTTGAGAAGCAGGATAGTCCCTCTCTTTAGAAGTGCATTCCCACATAGCACCTACCTACAGAGGCTGAGTAGGTGCTGCCACCTGTAGACAGGGCAGGTCCTAGAAGCTCCCTGATGGCCATGGCTCTGATTTCTGTTCCTAGCCTGGAACCCAGGCCACTGGCATCTGTGACCAGCCTGGTTCTAGCCTCAGTGGCTCTACTGGTGTGGATCCCTCTTCCCCCCAGCTCAGGGCAGGGACCCACAGGGCAGCTAGCTCTCACTGTGCACAGCAGTCTGCGAGACACGCAGCACCGAGCTGTTGTATCCATTGCACTGGCCCTGGGTTTCCAGATTCTCATCTCCAGGCTGGGCTGCGGCTGTGTCCATCCATCTCCTGCAGCCTGCACTGCAACACCCAGCACAGTTTCCTCCTTTCCTAGCTTAGTTACTCTACTGGGTCCAGGTCACGCCTTCCCCTGCGAGAAAGGAAGTCAGTGCATAAATCCAATCTGAACGTAAATAAGTCAGCCACCTGGGAAAGTCCAGACCAAGACGCAGGGCAGCATTAACCTGTTTGGGAATTCAGGGTCTTCTGCTCAAAGCTGTGAATGTGCAAGAGAGAGGGAAAGAGGTACCTGACAGACAGCCAGGTTCTGCTGGGGGGCCCAGCACAGGCAGGGGCAGACACATGACCACAACTCTGCAGGCCCGCAGATGGCTGGCCCTGCACTTACCTTATCATCCTGGCTCACTGCCTCCCCGCTCCTGGGACACCAGCCAGAACCCCCATGCATGCAGGTGTCCCTGCCCTGCTCCCCTCCCGCCTCCCCACAAAAGAGGGAGTCCTCCTCATCTGCACTATGATATATAAAACTCTCTCTTTGGCCAGCCATGAGCTGGAGCAGATTACCTGGTTGTGTTCATCTTGTCAGAGGTAGGCACAGTTTCCAAGCCAGGCCACTTTCTAACTGAGGGGTCTTGATCAAGTTACTTAGTCATTTGAAGCTTCAGTGTCTTCACCAGTAACATGAAGGTAATACCCACCCCATAAAGTTGATAAGAGGATGAAATGGGGTGATGCAGGTAAAGCAGCCCGACTCCCCAAGTCAGTTTCAGTGTCTTCACCAGTAACATGAAGGTAATACCCACCCCTAAAGTTGATAAGAGGATGAAATGGGGTGATGCAGGTAAAGCAGCCCGACTCCCCAAGTCAGACACACCTGGGAAATGTCAGTTTGCAGCCCAGTCACTCTGGGGTTCACGCACCCTTCCTTTCAGCAGTGAGCATGGCCACTCAGGAAGCATGTCTGTATTCCTCAGACTGAGATCTGGGCAGCCCATGGGCCCAGGTGACACTGGCTGGGCGTCTTGCTCTGGGCTTCTCATGGGCTTTCCCTCTGGGCAGCTTCTGCCCAGTTCCAGGTGGTCCTCGGGGATGTATGAGACGCACACGCCCCCAAGTGGCCAGTGCCATGTAGGGGATGTGACATCCCTCAGGGAGGCCTGGGGGCTCTTGCAGACCTCAGCCTGGCACTCAGTGTGTAGCTGATTTCAGAGAAAATATGTACCCAGCCCCGGGATCTCACCTTTTCTTTTAGGTTGACGCCTTTTCCGTGGTCTCAGTCAAGGAACAGCAGAGTGGCAAAGTCTGGGGCCCCATGTGGATGGCAGGGGTGGGCAGGTGAGGGCAGAGAGCTGAGGTGACCCTGCTCTCTTCCCATCTTGCAGGTCGTTCGCCCGTCCAACCATGCCACCATCCAGAGCATCGTCAGGGCTGTGGGCATCGTGCCTGGCATCCCAGAACCCTGCTGCGTTCCTGACAAGATGAATTCCCTTGGGGTTCTTTTCCTGGATGAGAACCGGAATGTGGTTCTGAAGGTGTACCCCAACATGTCTGTGGAAACCTGTGCCTGCCGGTAAGACCACTTCAGGGTGGAAGGAAGCCCCTGCCCCGCCACCCACGCCCAGCGGAGCGACATTCTCAGAGCCTTCTGAGGCCAGGATTCAACTAGGGGTGCAGCTGCGGATGCAGGGCAGAGCTTACAGGCAACCCCACTGGGGTCCAGAAAGTCTGCCCACCGGGGCATCACTCTGGGGCCTTTCATTGCTAATGACTTGGCCCCTAAATGCCAGCCTGAGTCCCCTGAGAGGCTCTGGGAGTTAGCCCTGTCCTGTACCATGCATACCCACTGTTCTGAAGGCCTGAAAACGGAATGTGTCCATACTGCTGGCTTTAGGTGATCACCATCTCATAACCTAGGAAAAAGACTATGCAAATCTTGGGGCGCTCATTCCCTCAATGTGGAAAGACCTCCGTCTAAATGTTCAGTTTAAAACACCTTGAGCCACATAGTGATACTGGAAAACCAGGACCTAAATAATGGTATATATGGATGTTTTCTTTCAAACTCCGCTGCAAAAGCTTTTATACATAAAGTATGCACATATAACCAATGTTTGTTTCTTTTTCTTAATATATATTTTATTAAAACAAACAGGAGGGAGTTGACACCACTCCCCATGGAGATAATCGTGCTGATTAAGTGTGGGTGGTTTGAACATGCATATTGTAATAACACATACAGTGATATGTTGGAATACTAAAAAATAACCCAGATTTTATATTTTTGTAAATTATACTTCTATACTGTAGATTGTGTATGTTATGTGTTTTTACAGAAAGCTAATAAATTAAGGGTACAGTGGTATCTTGAAAAACTGAATGTCGGGGCCGGCCCGGTGGCGCACTGGATAAGTGCGCCGCTTGGGAAGCATGGCGGCGCTCCCGCCCGAGGGTTCGGATCCCACATACAGACCGGTTCCCGCTCACTGGCTGAGCGAGGCGCAGGAGCAACACCGAGGGTTGCAATCCCGTTGCCGGTCCCCGGTCCGGTACGGGGGCAACACTGAGGGTTGCGATCCGTTGCTGGACACGGAAAAAGACAAAAGACAAAAACAAAAAACAAAAAAAAAAAACTGAATGTCACCATTCCAAAACATTGATCGACTCCCATCCATAAGCATAAACAAAAACCAAAAAAAAAAACTGAATGTCACCATTCCAAAACATTGATCGACTCCCATCCATAAGCATAAAATCTTGGGGGCTGCTGGGGACACAGCCTCCTTTACGATCACCAATGCCCCCGCCAAGGCCCTCTCCATACTCGTGTGTATCTGTCCTAAGCTCCAGAAAACCAGCTGCTCTTATGCCTTTCCAGGTCCTGCCTCACTTTCTGTGTCCTTTAAATCCCCACCCTGGACTGGCCTCAAGAAGGGGCAGGGCCCAGGCAGGCACGGTGGCCCCCTGGAGCTTCTTCATATCCCTACCCTCGGGGGTGTCCAAGGCATTTAAAGGAACATCTGTGGTTGTCTGGTCAGAGATCTTTTACTCAACCAAGGCTCAGGGGCCTTTTTTCCGGTTACCTAGCTCATAGACCTGTGTGTGAAGGGTTTGTGACCCAGTCTGGACAATGGGCTTGAGAGGTCTGTGAGCTCCAGACCCAGCCAGAGCTAAGAAGTACAAAGAGAAACTCAGAAACTCGACTGCTAGTGCTCCAGAGGACGAGGAATGGAGGTGACTCACAGAGAGTCTGACGTTGGGACCAGCCAGGAAGGAAGAGCTGGACTTGGCTAGTGGGATAAGGACCTCGCTGGTACCAGATTGTGCAAACAGCATTCAATGGCAGCATATGCCAAGGGGGCTGGAGGTGGTTTCGGTGGGGAGACCAGGAGAGCAGCCAGCTTGCCAGCTGCAGCTGTGAGGTGTGCACTAAAACACTGGAGTTAGAGTTCAAGACTATTTCCCTTTACCAAAACCTGGAAACAAATCCCTTCACAAGTAGACTGATGCTTATGAGACTTCCCTTCCCTCCCCTCTGCTGCCTGACAGAGCCATGTTCATTTAAGCTTTGCTCCCCTTGCCCTGCCTCTAGCTGTTCTCACTCAAGTCTCATCCAGTCCTAAGCCTTCCTCTTCAGATCTCTCCCAGGAATCTTGTTTGTGGGGATCGGGAGTGGATAGGTGGTCAGGAGAATGCACATGCTTATTTATACAATTATTTAGCACCTACAATGTGCCAAATGTCTCACTAGGCGATATATTCATACTTTATCTCTTAGAAGGCTCATGCGACTTCCCTCTTTTGTCCAAACCACTGTGCGAACTTGAATGTGCATTAGAATTACCTGGAGGCCTTGACACAGGTGCAGCACCCGGGTCCCAGTGTTGTTTTTGATTCGGGCTGAGACTAGTATTTCTAACTAGTTTCCAGGTGCTGTTGCTGTTGATCACCTCAGAACAGGTGTCCTCATAGCCATGTCTCCTGGGACAGAAGGGGTTCCTGATCCCCTGGAGGCATCCATGTCACAGATACTCAGGCCATCCTTTCTCACCTCCATGAGTGAAGGCTGCAGTCAATGTCACTGCTTCGGAGGGATGAGCTTCAAGGATCCTTGAAATAAATAGATGAGTCAAATCTGCCTCTCTTATTCATTAAATTCTGCTTTTTCCGTGGCAGTGGCATGTGGTGACTTGATTTCTATAATTCACAAGTCCTGGGAGGGAAGATGCTATGGAGGATTTGCTCAAAAATCACAGCACAGTAATGCCAAACTGGGCATCAAGAACAGACAGGATGAGGCTGAGCTGGCAGCCACCAGGGTAGAGCCCAGTCTGACTAGCACCCCCTCCCCACAAAGCACTTCAGGGTGCTCAAGGAAGTATGCAGAGAGACCTGCCCTGGGGGAGCCCTGCTGTGTGGGCAGGGCAGATTCACTGGGCATGTCAAGTTGCAGGAAGGATGCGACAGCTCAAGTCATCAGCAGAGGAGCAGTCCTAGTTTGAGTGGTTGTCAGGTGAATCCAACAGGGTGCCGTTGCTCAGAACACAAAGGCTGTGGGCGGAAGGGAGTCGTGGTCAGGCACTGGAGGATGGACAGGACTGGTCCAGGTGGAGGGCAGTGGGGAGGAACGTAAGGCATTCCCAATGGAGAGAAGAGCCAATGCAGGGCTCTGCAGAAGGGCAGGCAGAGCTGCCCCCAGGGGTGGGGAAAGCGAAACAGTGGCTGAAAGGTCAGGCATTTTTCTGACAGTAGCAATAATAATGATTACTTGTTGAGCGCTTACCACATGTCAGGCTTTGTGCTTAGTGTGACGTGTTCCTAAGAGCACCCAGGCATCTGTGGAGTCCTCCGGCCCTCTCTCAGGATGCACAGCACAGAAAGGAATATGATTCCTGAGCAGGGCTCTGCTCCAGCACTAGTGCAGGGAGAATCTGCCATTGCTTGGAGGCTGAAGTCCAGACCCTGTGGTGTGGCTCATCAAAATGTGGGGGGAAATATAGTCTAGCCCAACTAGCAATGCAAATTCATTTTGTGGTGTTGTTCATCAACCCCACAAAGGTTAGTAAGAACTACTGGTGGCAAGACAGGTACTCTTAGGCTCTGCTAATGGGACTGAATATTATAAGAGCATTTCTGGAAGGCAGCTTAGCAATGTTTACCAAGAGCATTATAAACATTTACATATACCTAGATATTCCACTTCTGAAGACCTGTCCTAAGAATATAATATAAAATATAGACCACAGTAGCATGCAATAATGTGCTTTGCAACATTACCTTAATGAAGTCTAATTGCCCTACAGCTGGAGAATGTTTGAGTAAATTAGAATATGTCCATGGATTGGTTAGTGTTCAGTCATTAAAGATGAAGTTCATGAAGTTTTTCATGATGTGGAAAGATATCGACACACCCTTTTAGTGGCATCTCCTTGTAGGGCCCAGACCTAGACTCCTCTGGGGATCATCCCAACTGACTCCTGAGCTGCAGTGACATCACGCCTGCCCCAGGGGCCTAAGCCAATCAGGGCATTGCATTCAGCTGACCACAGTGATTGGCTGGGGAGAGGGCAAATGATGCAATCAAGGCCAGGCAGATACCAAGCAACTCACTGGGACTTCTCAACAAAGAGGCTTCTGGTCCCCACCCCCGTATGTGAAACGGATGGAGACCTGTGCGGCGATGGGCCAGGACACAGAGAGATGGAGCAAAGCCAGCAGGAGCAAGAGAGGAGAAAGCGTCACTAGGACCTTGCCTGCGCTCCAGATCACGCTGTGCTGAAGCCAAACTGATGCTGAACTTTCCAGCTTTCATTGGTCAGGCATTATCCATTTGCTTAAGCCTATTTGGATTCTGCTTTTTTGCAACTCACAACAAAGGAACTCGAAATGACACAATTAAAAAAATATGTAAAACAAACCTGTGTGTCCACCAAGCCTTGAACACCAAATCATATGACTCCAGAGGTAAATCTAAGGCAGCACATGCCAACCCTCTTGTCTAGACTGTCTTAAATCTTATGCCAGCCTTCACTTTATCTAGGCAGAGACACATAAAACTCCCTCATTCAGATCTTTGGTCTTTGAATAATCATGTGGATGGGCTTCCCTGGAGAGAACAAGGGAAGAGTTAGGAAGCGTAGTACAAAGTATGGGGGTGCGGGGTGAATAAGATCTCCCTCCACTCATCACGGTGGTCCCTTCCTGAGGCCCCAGCAACGCAAAGCTGGTGACAGGAGAGGGTCCTTTTGCATGAGGATCCCTACAACTTCTGGGAAAAACTGAATGAAACCCAGACCTTGTGCTTCAAGACCCCGAATTAGGGGGATCTGTTTAGATGGACCGAGGCCCATTTGTGTGGAAAAGTAACAAGATCCTGAAATACCTACGTGATGAAAGTGGGAGTCTGAGCTGTTGACCCAGGCTCCCTGTGGGAACCTAGGGATTGGTCAGGGAGGTCAGGTTGGGGTTGGAGTGTGACCATGGCTGACTTCTCCTCCCAACACAGTCATGTGCTATGGGGGTATGCCTTTGAGAGGATGGCAGGCGTGACGGTGTGCCCAAGAAAGCCAGACCAGCCAGGGCCTCCCAGGCAAGCAGCTGTTAGATGCGTAGGACTCCTCCCCAACAGCAAAGCCAGAGTTGCTGAGAGGGAAGAGCAGGTGGGACAAGCTAGGACCCCTTTCTCCCTCCTGCTTCCTAGCATTAAGAAGCTGGATCAACACTAGCCCGCCATAAGGCACTCGGACAATCAGGAAAGAGGAAGACTAGACTTCTTAATAATATGGATCAAGAAGCTTCCAGCAATTAATTAAAAACAATAAAGGAGATGTGAATATATTGATACCCAGAGTTTGTGGGGCAGATTATTCTAGAAATACACAGGCATGTTGCATTGTACAGCTCCGGGGGATACCACCCAAACCATAGTCAATGTTATCGGTGCCTCCTGGTGGTGTGCACCAGCAACCTAGCAGCCAGAGGTGGTGACCCCGTATTATAAATGGGTCCATTATCTGAGATTCCGAAATCCAAAACCTAAGATTTCTTTTAACTCCTTTTGTGGCAACACTTGACCCGAATGGATATTTGTATCTTTATGTA